TCATACCGCAGTGACTTTCCACGCCGCAGGGGTGGCGTCCGGGGCGAAGGTGAGCTTATAGTCTGGCCCCGTGCGGCCGGCCATGGAAGATTCCTGGAAAATTCAGCATACACAGTAACAAGACACGGCCGTTAAGTTATTGGAGTTGTTGGGGCACGGTAGAGACCCATCCCAAACCCGCCCGACGCCTCACAGAAAAACCATCTCTGTACACCCCGCCCCCCCCCTCCCGGATTGCGCGGCACACACACATCTTTACGTCTACTGTTCTGCCGTATGGCTGACGCATGCGATTCCGACCCAAAGCCGAGAAAGAACTGCCAAAGAAAATGCCATACTAAAATGCTTGTTCTCCGTCCCGTCGCTACAACACGGGACATTGTCGACAACGGCGCCAGGTGTCCGAAACGTGCGAAAAGAGTCAACCAGACTCGCCGCGTGTTGCTGTCCCCGACTCTCGATTCGAAAAAAGGCAAGAGGTATCTCGCAGGCCAGCGCTTGAAACACACCAAAAGACAGACCCAGTCTCGCCGCGTGCAAGTAAGCTCCCCGACTCTCGTTTCGACAAGGCAAACGTGGCTCATACGCCACACGCCTCGAACGGGGGCAGGCCTATCTTCGAAACAACCGCTAGGAATTCCGCTCAGGACAGACAAACTGAACCGGCTGTCGGAAGGGATGGGTGCACACTGCCGCGGTTATAGTAGAAGCTGTCGTCTTTTGTGTATCTCTCGCCTCTTGTTCCACGCAGGACGGGTCGCACTGCAGGCGCTCGAGCTGGAACGACGTGGCCTCCCACACGTCCCGCAGCCCGGAGGTGGTCCCCTCGATGCCCTCCTCTCCTCCGACCTTGATCGAGACCTTCGACAGAAGGCAAGACAAAGAAGCAAGCAACAGGCCACGCGGTACCATGTCATGTCCTGGGGACATCGCCCCACACCGCTCCACGCCACGGACGTTTGGAGAAAATGACGGCTACGTGACGTAAAGAAAGTTTGGTGGGGAGCATACAAACGGTATCAACACACAAGGCAGCCTTCGAGTTCGAGGCCCTGCCCATATCCTACAAGCAAGCATGAAAACGGGGGGGGGGGGGGGGGGGGTTCGCCCCAAAAAAAACAAAAACCCCACCCCCTCCCCTTTT